GGAGGGGAGCGTGCAGAAGCAACCAGCAAAGCCCAGAAGCATATGCAATACCCCTGGTAGAAAACAGGTATAGCTACACCTATATCATCCCAGCCAGTGGCTGTCCAATCTCTTGTTGAACACCTCCAGTGATAGAGAGTTCACAACTTCTCTAGGCAGTCTACCCTACAGCCTCACTATTCACACAGTGAAGAAATTTTTCCAGATATCCAATCTAAATTTACTTTGCTGCAACTTCAAGCCATTGATCCGTGTCCTCCTCTCTGCAGCAGGCAAGAAAAGGCGCTTTTCCTCTTATTTACCTATCAGTGAAAAAAGGTTGCAGGAGAGGGTGAGCACTCAATTCCTTAATATGGGGAGAAGGGGCAGAGCATGAGAATTCAGAAACAGGGAGGTGTGCTCGCACACACGTACGTGAGTAAGTATAAAAATAACTGAGATTACATGAAGCAGAGAGGTTAATACCAACATGTGGGTATTTGTGACTGAGACATCTTATGTACGCAAGACTAACTGAAGCGTTTCCAGGACAATTTCCACTGGTCCTCGCTTCATTACAACCAAATGACAAACACCTTTAAAACCAAATTAAATACCTGACCACAACTCTTGCAAGCCAAACACTGAAGCACTAGAAGCTTTTAAGTAAAACTGACTTCACTCTCTCCAAGTTGAGGAGAAATGAAACAAGGCACAGTGAAAAGCCAAATCATCTAAACTGATTACTTAAAATTGAATTAAAGCCTGTAATTGAAGTGTTATAGACACAGATTAACACCAGCAGAGCCAACTCCAAAACAGAGGTGTGTGATGTTAGTGGCCTTTATAAGAAACTACTTTTAAATCAGGATGCTATTGACACTTCCTTCTCCCCTAAGCATCTTATTATGATGATCATCAGATTATTACAAAGATCATCTAAGCTTGATAAAATTAAACTATTAGAAAGGGGGGCACACACACCCTCTTTCTATCCTATTCTGGGCCCAGTTAATTTACTTGGGACATGTGGTAGCACTTAGACAAATGGGAAATTAACAATCTGTTATTTCACAGCACAACTCTTACCAGGCCCATACTGCTATAAAATAAAAATAAATAAATGATAAGAACAGATGCAGACAGAGCTATCTTTAACTCACTATTTTTGAACTAGCAAGATGGTTGCAGTCTCTAAGGAGTCTTAATCTGCCCGGTTAAAACCAGTGTGTTGATGGGAAGAGGAGGAGAGTTAAATCAAGCAGCTTGAGCCAAAGAAAGCAAACAGAGCAGATCAAGTAATATGCAAGCTAGCTTGATTCCAACCCTAAGAAAGCCAGGTGTGCATTCAGAGTGGTTTATGGACACCCCTGACACATGCC